GTGGCAAGAGGGTGCCCCGCCAGGACGAGCGTCTCTTCAGACTGCGTGTGGTGGGGGGCCAGCCTGGGAACTCACCCTGGACAGTCAGCCTGCGCAACCGGTGAGGCCCAACCGCTCGCCCACCCCCCCACTCCCCCCAGGGGCCGAGGCTGTCTGCCTGTGCCCCTGGAGGGTGGGAACCTGTCCTGGCTCCAGAGGTTCTAGCTGAGAGGTGGCAGGTCCACTCCTGTGTCGGGCCTCACTGTTCCCTGTACTGACCCTCATCCACCAGGCACGGCCAGCACTTCTGTGGGGGCTCCCTGGTGAAGGAGCAGTGGGTGCTGACTTCCCAGCAGTGCTTCCCCTCCTGGTGAGCCTCCCTGGGTTTGGGGTCCCGCCCAGTCCCATCACCCCGCCTCATCTTCCCGCTAGCCACCTGCCCCAGGCCAGCCAACAGGTGGGCCTCGGGCAGCGGACCCTGAGTCCTAACCGAGCAGCTTGTCCACCAGCCATGAGCCTCTCGTGGGCTATGAGGTGTGGCTGGGCACCATGTTCCAGAACCCGCAGCCCCAGGAGCCAGGCCTGCAGCGGGTCCCAGTGGCCAAAATGGTGTGCGGGCCCTCGGACTCCCAGCTGCTTCTGCTCAAGCTGGAGAGGTGTGTGCCGCGTCTGGGGCAGTGAGGTGGGGCCGGGCCTCTCGGCCTTGGGCCCTGAGCACCCTCGTTTCTGCCGAAGACCCGTCACCCTGAACCAGCGCGTGGCCCTGATCTGCTTACCCCCCAAGCAGTACGTGGTGCCTCCGGGGACCAAGTGTGAGATTGCAGGCTGGGGCGAGACCAGAGGTAAGACGGTGCGGGGTGTGGGGTGTGGGGCGCGGACCGCGGGGCGTGGGACTACCCCGAGGCCTCCCTCCCTCCCATCCCCTCCGCTGTAGGAACAGGGAACAACTCGGTCCTCAACGTGGCTCCGCTGACCGTCATCTCCAACCAGGAGTGCAACGTCAAGTACCGCGGGCGTGTGCAGGAGAACGAGCTGTGCACCCAGGGGCTGCTGGCCCCTGTGGGTGCCTGTGAGGTGGGTGGCGGCCCGGCCACAGGGAGGGGAGGGAAAACTGAACCTGCACTGGCTCATCTCCAGGGGACTGGTCCCTGCCTCGCGCAGGCCCTCACCCGGTCTCCCCCACCAGGGCGACTACGGGGGCCCGCTTGCCTGCTTCACCCATGACTGCTGGGTCCTGGAGGGACTTATAATCCCCAACCGCGTGTGCGCACGGCCCCGCTGGCCAGCCGTCTTCGTTCGCGTCTCTGTGTTTGTGGACTGGATTTACAAGGTCATGCGGCTGGGCTAGGCCCGGCCTTGGTCCCCCCTGTACCGGGGGCACGGAGTTCCTGTGGGACATAAAGGCGCCTTTCCTCCTCACACCGGGCTGTGCTTTAGTCTCTGCTTCCAGGGAATGAACCGGCAACTCCTTGCCCGGGCCTGGGGGCTCGGCCCTGCACCCCTCAGCCTGTGGGTGCCGTGGAAGGGCAGGACCTCCCAGGCCCCCACGTAAGGGTGGTGTAGGCAGTTGCCAACCGAAGGGGCTGCAGCAGGGGCTGGCCTGGGGGAGCCCCGCTGGCCAGGAGAGCAACGGGTGAATCCCTCACGGTGCCCTCCTGCCTCCCACGGAGGTAGATGAGGTCCCTGTGGCTGAGGTCTCTGAACCCCCCGGCGGGGCTGGGCACAGAGGACCAGCAGGAACCAGACTGTCTTCATTTATTATAACCAGACAGCCCGCCTCTCGCTCGCCCGACCAGAGTCCAGAGCCCAGGATCCTCCGGCTGCTCTGCCAGACCCCGGGCTCTCCCAGAACCCAGGGCCGCCCCTGCCAACCGGCTGGCGCTGAGGCGGGCCTTCAGCTGCCCAGGTGCATGCGCAGCCAGAGCACGGCGTTCATGAGGCTGTCCGACTCCACCTCCACCTCAGACAGGGCGTGGGTGCTCTGGGGGTACAACAGGAGCCTGTGGGGGGAGGGCAGGAATGTTTGAAGTTGGGGGGCGTCCTCCCCTGCCCGCCAGCTTCCGGGCCACCCGGCACTCACCGCACAGGCACGTTCCGGGTCTTGAGGGCACGGTAATACTCGATGCCCTGCTTGAAGGGCACCCGCCGGTCCTTCTGGCCCAGCATCAGAGGTCTGGCAGGTGGTGGCTGCTGTAGGAGAAGCCCGCCTCCACCACGCACCTGCGGGAGACCAAGCCCTGCAGCTCGTGGGCGGGGCTCCAGGGGGTAGGGGCTGGGCGGGGCCAGGGCTGGGAGGGGGCACACGCACCAGTCGGGGATGTCCGTGGAGCCCAGCATGGAGGCGATGTTGATCACCGGGTTGCGGGCCACGCAGGCGCTGTACGTGTCCGGGTACTGACCGATCAGGTGGCAGGAGAGGAAGCCGCCGTGGGACCCGCCCATCAGGGCCACCCGGTCTTTGTCGAAGTGCTCCTCGCGGAGCACCTGCTCGACTGCAAACTATAGGGCGGGCGGAGCGACCTCAACCCGCTGCCGGCCGCGGGAGGGCACCCCCAGCCCCCTCGCCCCACCAGCCCTGCTACCTGGACGTCCTTCACGTCTTGGTGGCCCACGTTGCCGGGGAGGGAGAGGATGCTGTCCTGGCCAAAGCCCGTGGAGCCCCGATAGTTCACTGGAGGCCAGGAAGGGACCGGACAGGGTGGTCAAGGGACAGTCCCGCCCCCTGGACACTATACCCGGTCCGTGAAGTAGGCCTTGGGGCCAGCTGTCGGGGGGAGGGGCTGAGATGTGAGGCGGCTGCCTGTGAGCACTCCTTCCCTGGGAGTCCCAAGTGCATCTCCGACCCCCTCGCCTGGAGCCAAGCCGGCCCGGCAGCTCCTGGGGGTGGTTACCAGGTCGGGCTACAGAGACTCCTGCAGACTAGGGCGGTCCCTGTGGAGCTTGTACAAACCAGCCCCCACCCCCGCCCCCCGACGGGAGCTGCGGGCCCTGGCACTCACCCAGCAGCACTGCGAAGCCCAACTTGCACAGCATAGCTGGGAACAGCATCCAGGCGGTGACAAAGGATGAATGGGGTCCCCCTGCAGGCGGGGAGCAGGGGGTGAAGAGCCAGCCGGGAGGGGTGGCGGGCGGGCAGGGGCTCTTAGGCCAGGTGCCTACCGTGGGGCATGACCACCATGGGCACCCGGGTCTTGTCGGGAGGGTTGCTGGGCTGCAGGAGGATTGCTTCAAAGTCAAGGCCAGCTGCGGGGAGAGGCGGCCATCAGCAGGGCCGGTGGGGGTGGGGCTGCCCCAGGCAAGGCCTCGCTGCAGCTGCAGCTGCAGCTCTGGGGCTGACCCCCAGAACAGGCCTGGCCACGGCCCCCACACGGCGACACGGACCCAGGAGCCCCTCCGCCAGGGCCGTGTTCGGGGCAGGTATGGTCACAGGCCGCGTAGGGGCCCGTCTTTGTGCCTTGGTTCCCCACCACAGGCGACTTGGCCTGGGGATTCCACGCTGACACCCAGAGCAGGTGCCCAGATGCCTGGACCCCGTCCTCCCCGCGGCTGTCCAGAGGGGAAGGGAAAGCCTCTCGGAGAGAATCCCAAGACCCCCCCAAAGCCGGAGGCAGGAAAGGGGGGCAGACGCTGTGCCGGCAGCTGGGGAGGGGCCGTGCCCCGGGCTCACCATACTGCACGTTCTCCTGCTCCGGGGGCGGCTGCAGCACCCGGACACCCCAGGAGATGTCGGTAATGGGCTCGGCCTCCTCCAGCGACACCCACACCACCGACCGTTCCTTCCCCGGGGGAGGCAGGAACCCAACTTTCTGCCAAGGGGAAAGGGTGTGTGTGTCACGGGGCCTGGCTGCCTCCCTGCCCATCACCTCTGCTGGAGGGGATTAGCGGGGGGGTGTGCAGCTCTCTCAACGCTCCCCCTCCAGCAGGTATGGCACGGATGCCCACCGTGGGCTGGTCCATACAAAGGCACGCACACCCCTCGGCTTCGAGGCGCTGTCTCCCTGCGCTCTGTTCAGCCAGAGGCCGGGGCACGGCCCCAGGAGCCTGTTCCGTGCAGGGAAGACCCAGCGGGCAGTTTGCGGACCCCCTGGCCTCCCACCTGCTGACCAGCACAGACTCCGGCCGGTGCTCTGACCCGGAGCTCTGCCTGCACAGACCCTCTTCCCGGCCTGGCCGGGGCCACCAGCACTCACCAGGCTCGGGGGCAGGCTGGGCGTGGAGAACTGTGCCACCATGAGGTCCCGGTCCATCGTGAGCAGCTTCCAGCTCCCTCCTAACCCCCCTGCAGAAGGCAGACGCCACTCAGCACCCACAGGGCCACCTTCCCACCCCCACCCTGCGGAGCTAGAGTCCCTGGCGGAGGCGCGACAGCAGGTGCCTTCCTGCCCTGGGAAGCGCGGGGTGTCCACCCGGACCGTCCCAGACCCCCAGGTGCACGGTCCTGGGCGAGCCTCCTGCTCAGTCTGCAGCTGGTTCTCAGACACGGGCTGTGCCCGGGGGCGGCTCGACCTGGGACGCCCGGACCCCACGCCACGCCCGTCCCCACGCGATGAGCGCAGCCAGGCCAGGGCCGGGGGTGAGATCCTGGCCAGGGGTCCGAGGAGGGTCCTGAGCAGGGCCTTAAGGTGAGGTGCAGCGGGGACGAGACCCCGGAAGATAGGAGGAGTGAGTCAGGTCGGGGCAGAAGGGCTGGAGGGCAGGTCACCAGTGGTTGTAAGAGGAAGAGGGCGCCAGCAGGGCTTCCCCTGGGGCTGGTGGCAGGCGGCCCATGTCTAAGGGCTGCGGAGGCTGAGCAGCAGGGTGGGGCCGCTCTGAGGCGGGCAGGACACGGAGCCGAGGGGAGCAGGGGAGGCAGGCATTTGGCTGATCAGGGTCCTCGTGACACTGGCAGTAAAGGCTGCAGGACACTCGGTGGCACAGGGCTGAGGGCCACCGCTGCCCGAGCGTAAGTCCCAGTCCCACCCCTGGCCTGGCTGGCCCGCTCGGCCCCCCACTCACCAGCCGTCAGGGAGGTCACAGTGCCCACCTGGGTGTCCACAGCAAATAGGTCCTGAGCAGAAAGGAGCCACGTGTGGCCTCGTGTCCCAGGGCCCTGTGGGTCCCGCCCCGCCCCCCCTCTTCTCCCCTCAGGGAGCCTGAGCCAGGCCAGGGCTGTGAGCAACTGTGACGGTTACTCAGGACGGGAGGGAGCGGCCTGAGAGACTGGGTTCAAATCCTAGCCCGTCACAACGTGCGAGTGACCCTGGGCAGTGTGCGGGCTGCCTCTGAGCCAGAATGTGGACCACATGGTATCACACCCAACAGGGGCCGGGCACACCCCCTGGGAGAAGGCCTCTGCCCCCCTATTACTCTCCATACAGGGTTTAGGGCCCCCAGTGCCAGCCCCCTGGTCCCAAGCCGGCGATGCCTGGGGGAGGGGTGCAGCTGGTCGCGGAGGATGAAGGCCAGGGAAGCTGTCGTGGCCGCTACAGGGCACCACGACCAAGGACGGCACCGGGGACCACCAGGGCAGCCCGAGCCCCAAGGACAAGTGGAGCCAGGACGGGCCGGCAGGGCCTTAGGGGCGGGCGAGGCCTAGTAGCCGGTGCTGCAGCCAGCGGTGAGCAGACGCGGGGCCCTAGGCCCAGGGGCCCGGGGGTGGGTCACGGCCGCCTCTCAGCACAGTCAGGGCCCCTCACCTGCTGGCTGCGCTGAGCCGAGTCGAAAACCACTCGCTGGCTGTCCGCTGACCAGCACCCCAGCGGCAGGTGGCTGCAGTAGATGCCAGAGAAGCTTTCTGCGGAGAAGGAGCAGGGGCTGCGTCCAGGAGGGCGGGGTGTGCGTGCGGTGGGAGGTGGGGTCAGGCTGGCTGCTGGGGAGCACCCCGACAGGAGGGCACAGAGCATTGGGGGGGGGGGGGGCGCAGAGGGCAGGGTCTCCGAAGGCCCAAGGCAGAGCTCAGGGGCTTCTGGGAACGGCGGCGCTCCGAGGAAATGCCGGCTTCCCGGCGACCTGCTCCTATGGCGCCAGGTGAGCAGGGCCTGGCAGAGGGGGCGGAGGAACCTGCTCTTTTTAAAATGTTGCTGATCTCGGAGAGGAAGGGAGAGGGAGCGAGACATCAGGATGGGAGAGAAGGATGGATTGGCTCCTGCACGCCCCCCACTGGGGATCGAGCCCACAACCCGGGCCTGGGCCCCGACCGGGACTCAAACCGTGGCCTCCTGGCTCCTGAGTGGACGCTCAACCCGAGCCCCGCCGCCGGGCAATCCTGCTCTTTACCATCATCACTCATTTAACCCTCACGTTATCGATGCCGCAAGGAAGGCAGGGTGACCGCCCTCCACGGATGGAGACAGGGAAGCCCAGGGGGGTCAGGGCACTGGATAAGGAGCAGGCACCCAGCTGCGCCCTGCAGCCAGAGGGGAGGAAAGGCGCCCTTGCCCACTGGGCGCCTGGACTGACCGGCGGCCTGAGAAGAGTCACCGCTCCCGCCCTGGGGTGGCCCAGG